TATATATATATATACTATGACAAAGCGAATAGATACTTGTATTGTAGGAATTTTCTTGTAAAATAGCTGACAGCAGTCTGTCTAATTAATCATAAAGTCTATGGTTAGGCATATTTATTTACCTCTACGGTTTTGAAACCGTTTACAACTGGTATGGTTAGAAAACCGGGAATACAAAACTATACGGTTTTGCAACCATTTACCACTAGCATAGTTTCTAAGCTATAAAAATAAAGCTATGTGGGTGCTACACCATTTTTGCATGAATTATAGCTTCATTTCTTATAGTCTTGTGTCACCGATGTGAATGCAGCACACTAGTAACTCTTTATGCATTCGAGGAATGGAATAAATTTTGTGGTATCATCGCAAGGATTCTAACCCTGTTCAGCCTGTGATATGATTGACTGATTAGACCAGGGGTGGCGAACCTTTATGCACTAACGTGCCATTTTTTTCCAAAAATTGTTTATTGAAGTCACAGACGTGCCGTCAAATAATTTTGACTTCGTGATTATTGGGGAAATAATATTACTAAATACTATCAGCTGAAAACTCTTTATTCACTATGAAGAAGGAATATATTTTGCAATGTCTCAGTTATACGCGCAATTCAACTTAAAGTAACATGACTCCTGTTGTTGCAGATTAGATGACAAACAACTTACATTAGGTTGTAAGATGTTACTTTACGCAGGACTGCAATTTTTTTTGCTAGTTATTTATTGTTAGCTTGTTTTTTATGGTTATTGTTTATTTGACATTAATTGTTAATTTTTTGTTAATAATTTTTTTTTTTGCGAATTATAATTTTATTTGTTAATATGCTTCATATTGAACTTTGTGATCAGTGGCGTGCCCAGAGTATTATGTCACGTGCCATAAATGGCACGCGTGCCATTGGTTAGCCATCCCTGGATTAGACCTTCTCATCTACAGTGTGTACCCATCTGCACGGAACAAAAATGGCTTCATAAGATGGTTCTAGTTGGCGTAGATAGAATTCTGGTTGTTAAACCGTATTAGGAAAAAGGAATCAATAAATGTTTTTTCTCACACTTTACAGTTTGAATATCCTATTTATTTAACTGATTTTGGTTCAATATGGTGAAATAGTTATTAAATAAATTGCTATTTCACCGTATTTACCATGAAATTTCTAACACGGAAATGTGTCGCATTTATATTGTTTCTAGTAATGCGTGCCTGAATATGGAAAAACTAGATTTTTTTTAAATTATTTCTTATATATAAGATCCAGGATATCTTAACCGTGGAAAAGAAGTAAAAAAAAAAGATTTTTTCGCTTCTTTTCTTCTTTTTTCTCCATGAAAATCTTTTTTTAAAGTTCTTTTTGAATATATCTTGGCTAATCTAGTTGGCGTCACAGATCGAGATACGGAAATCTCCCTTACGGAATCATGTAAAACCGATGTTTTTATTTTGTTAAAAGATAAAATGCTTAAATCCCATGTGTACAATCAAACATAAACATAATAAAATCAAACATAATACTTATAAACACCATATAATGATGGTAATTAAATCTCATACTATATATGTTAAATTACCTTCAGTAAAAAATCGAAAGTAGGCGTTGCCTTAAAAAGCAGCTTGAATCAAGAGTGCTTGTTTGTGCTCCTCGCAATTATCATTCTATTGGTAAAAATTCGTATATGAGAATTATGGAGATGAGATAGACCCAGCATGAGCCCCACGTGGGTTCGGAATCTTTTACGAAAATAAAAGACAATTTTCTCGAGTGGGTTCGGACTCATGGTAATATTTCCATAAACTTTTATACTACTTGTAAACAAACATTTGGTTCAGTTCTTGAATATAAAAAAAGTAAAATTTATAAGGTATAAGAAAAATTAGAGTTCTCGGTCAGGTTCGGAAACCCTTACGAAAAAAAAAGAAAATATTGTAGAGTGGGCTCGGACCTTCGAAAGCAAGATTGAACCCATCTGTAATGAGAGACCTTTTTCCTCGATTTCTTCTTTAAATGCCACTTATTCCCCCCCCCCTCCGCTCTGACATTTGGAACCGGGAATTTTCCAATCGGTCAGCAATTGAATTACACAGGTTTTGATTGAAAAATTGAAATCTAAGAAGGAGTTGTTTCCCTTCTTTTTTAAAGCGTGAGGAACGGAGATCCATCCTCCAACTCCACGGTCCCCGAAGAAGATCAAAATATTATTAATCTAAGGTTTCTAATTCATTGGCCAGTGCGTGTATGTAGAAGGTTGGCCTGACTCCCAGGAATGGTTCCTGAAATTTATCTTACGCTGATATCAGAACTTTTATAAGAATCGGCTTACTGAGAGCATTTCACATGAGAATTAACCTTATTCTAAAAATAATTTATAAATATTCAGATGTTTACTATTAAAAAGCCCGACTCATTAAAATCTTTTTCACCCCCAATTGTTAAACGAATTAACCTCACTGATTTATATTTGTATGCATTGGTGGCTATGAGCTGTGAAGAATTACTGATTTTTCAAGAAAACATAACTCCAACTTATTTTAATTTGATGGTATGTGACAACAATCAGAAAATTATTCTGTCTGCTTTATAATCTTATTTTATCATATCTGGCATTCTTATCCGTTTTGAAGTTTCGTTTGTTTATCAATATATCGATTTTCAATGAATGTCTAATAAGAACGAAAGTCCTGGTTCTAAATATTGTCTGTTAATATTCTCAATTCTACATAAATTTTATGCATATAAAAACAAATTTAAAGTATATCACAATTGTCACTTTTTTTAGATATATTGNACCTTCGAAAGCAAGATTGAACCCATCTGTAATGAGAGACCTTTTTCCTCGATTTCTTCTTTAAATGCCACTTATTCCCCCCCCCACCGCTCTGACATTTGGAACCGGGAATTTTCCAATCGGTCAGCAATTGAATTACACAGGTTTTGATTGAAAAATTGAAATCTAAGAAGGAGTTGTTTCCCTTCTTTTTTAAAGCGTGAGGAACGGAGATCTACCCTCCAACTCCACGGTCCCCGAAGAAGATCAAAATATTATTAATCTAAGGTTTCTAATTCATTGGCCAGTGCGTGCATGTAGAAGGTTGGCCTGACTCCCAGGAATGGTTCCTGAAATTTATCTTACTCTGATATCAGAACTTTTATAAGAATCGGTTTACTGAGAGCATTTCACATGAGAATTAACCTTATTCTAAAAATAATTTATAAATATTCAGATGTTTACTATTAAAAAGCCCGACTAGATAAAATCTTTTTCACCCCCAATTGTTAAACAAATTAACCTCACTGATTTATATTTGTATATTTGGCTATGAGCTGTGAAGAATTACTGATTTTTCAAGAAAACATAACTCCAACTTATTTTAATTTGATGGTATGTGACAATAATCAGAAAATTATTCTGTCTGCTTTATAATCTTATTTTATCATATCTGGCATTCTTATCCGTTTTGAAGTTTCGTTTGTTTATCAATATATCGATTTTCAATGAATGTCTAATAAGAACGAAAGTCCTGGTTCTAAATATTGTCTGTTAATATTCTCAACTCTATATAAATTTTATGCATATAAAAACAAATTTAAAGTATATTACAATTGTCATTTTTTTTAGATATATTGGAGAAATAAAGTGAATGGAATGTTACTGGAGATAAAGAATCACTTGAGTGCTTGTGTAAATTGCTGAAAACTAAGGGTAAAGAATTAGATGATCCAAATGTTGAAGGTTCAAAAGAAAGTGTTCTTTGTTTTCATTTTGATCTGTGCTTGTGATGTATCTACCACTATAAATATGTAATTCCAATTCACTAGTATATAAGACATGTTCTATGGAGGGGTACCTTTTCATAGATGAAAGTTGACATTGTAGATAGCTACTATCCCCGCAGTGCTTTTACTTAATATTTATTGTAATTAACCATATTTTATCTAACCATGTTTTCTCAAAATACTTTATTTTCTCTTATTTTGAACCCATATTTTGGCAATCTCTTTTTTTCAGATGGAAAGTTATTTTACACAAATGCAAGAGATGGTAGATAAACGTTTAACTAGCTCCAGGGTCCGTTTCATGTTGCAAGAAGTTATAGATTTAAAAGGGGTAGGTCATTAAATTCTTTATCAAATTATTACTATAAGTTTTGTTTTAGTTTAAAATTGAGTATTTAAATTTGTTTTTGTCTTTTAGAATGATTGGGTTCCTAGAAGAGATGTCAATAATCCTAAAACCATTGATCAAATTCACAAGGAAACTGAATGTAAAGCACATGGACAACAACAGAATCTACAGAACATGTCCTTCCCAGAAAAAGTAAAAAGTTTATTGAACTTGAGTTTCCCTTTTTTTAGGTATTCAAATAAATGCTGCAAAATTTTAGACGATGTTTTAAGTTCAGAAGTATACAATTATGAATTTTAATTAAAAAAGAAGTGTTACACTTGTAAAGGAGTGTTTAAGGTAAGTCATTTCGTTAAAATGAATAATGCGAGTAGTTCTCAAAAAAGACAGTAGCAGCATGAATTGATCGAGCAAAAACATCAACTCTTCTTCTTTAAGACATAAAACAAGATGTAAAATTTAAAATATGTAAAGATACAATTCTAGTAATGTGGAGTAAAATATATGATTTTGGATCATTCTTTATTAAATCTATTCACACCCCCCCCCTTTAAAAAAAAACAGTCTAAAATTATTTTTCCCAGTAATACTTTGCTGAACATTAGGCCAACCGAATATCTGAGCAAAAAGGCCGAATGCTGTATATCCTGTGGTAGAATCGAAGTTACACGGCGACATAGTCGCAGAACGTTACACAGTTCTTGCAGAATGATTTTTCTTTTGAAAAGAGAAAATAATTACTTTTCTTCAGAAGTTTACCTGCAATATTTGAATCATGCTTTCATGTTCCGATTTTATTTTTTGGTAGTTATTGATATTGATTTTCACATGGATTAAAAAAGTCCCGATATATTTCAAACAATATGGAAAATTCGAATCGCGCATTTGAGTATATACTTTTTTAAGGCAATGATTCTATCGAATTTTGTGACCAGTGATTGCTCCTTAATTTTTACCACGGTTTTTGAATCCGATAGTTTTTATACAATATTATTTATTACAACAACCTAATCTCGAAACGAAACGCATATTTGTGGAATCCGATTAGCGTGATTTCGTTGTCAATCTTTTTTTTCGGCAATTACCATTATGAATTTCATGATTTTTAATTATTTTGTCTTACTGTGATGATTCTTTACAAAATGCAAGTAGAGAAATAATTTGCGCAACCCCCCCCCTCCCCAACAAAATGCGAGAACATGACCCATAATATTAGAATAAAAATTTTTTACATGTTCAATTAATAAAAATTATACAGTTTTTTTTTAATTTTAAATACTCCTTTTATGTATTCCTTTTAAATATTCCAGCGCTTTTATTATTTTAAATTAGTAACGTATGCGTTTATTATTATTGAAAGTATCTTGTAGAAAGATGTTAGTGTTTGAGAGTTTTGTCGCAGATAGCTCGCAAATATTCTACCGCAGGGACTGTATATTGACTAAATGTTCGTAACATCCTCTGAGACAACCATTTCCTTATAATAAAAAATATTTTGAATAAATTGCTAAATATTACCATTCTGAATAAAATTTCATTGTATGACGACATTTTGTGTAAGAAAACTATTTTTTGTAGATTGACTTCACTTATTTAGTTAGTTAATAGCTTTTGAAGTAAACTATATACTAATGCAATCACACTATTTCCAACAATACCTCTGCATTACACTAAAAAAAATTTTTTTTCAAAAATTTTTTTATATTGTGAAACACTGTTTATTGTAGATTTTGCTGGGTTTTCAGGTGGTTTACTATACCTCGGTCAGACGTAAGTTTTCTGTTGTTGTTATTTATGCCACTTGCCAATACTTGGATACAATGGAAAACCAAACGAATTACAGTCTTGTTTTTCAGCGGTGCCATCTATGGCCAAGAATAAGATTTCAGCTGTCACGGCCGTTTTTTTTTCAGGGAAGACCCATTCATACTCCATTCATTCATCCAAAGAGATACTGATTTGTTTTGGGGCCTTCGATGACTTTGTGACCCTGAATGATTTAAGGTG